CTCTCACAAAGAGTATATATGAGTGAACTAGTATACGCTCAAGAACACGACAATTTCTTCAAGAATTGGCTCTCAAATAGCTAAGAAAAATGGGAATGATTATGCAATGAAAGAGTATTGAAATGTTGAAGAATTGTATGTAAAATGAGAGGATTTGGGTGCCATTTTATAGCCCAAAATGGGATAAAACCGTTGCTAAATTTTCCAACAGGATGAAGACAAATTTTTCAGAGTTGCAGGGTGATAATCGATTGTCTAGACATGATAATCGATTATTAAAAGATTCCCTGTCCAAAAGTTTAAAAATCTATCCGTTGGAGGACAACGGTAACCCAGATAATCGATTGTCAGCAAGTGATAATCGATTATTGGTCCTCTCAGAAGATTCTGGGTTTTGGCCGCACAGGTTGATAATCGATTATTGAATAAGTGATAATCGATTATTGCGTGCTTCAGAACTTTGGGTTTCCAAAGCTGCAGGGGCTGATAGTCGATTGTCACTAAGGTGATAATCGATTATCACCCAGCTAAAGTCTAGCCAGCTGAAACCCGTTTTGAAAAACCAAGGTCCAAAAACGAAGTGTTCCCAAAAGTAAAAACCAAGTTTGAAAAACATTGTATATGGTATAAAATAGTGAAAACAGGACTTGTTTGTCTTATGTGGGCCAATGGTTACGCATCTGGCCCGAGGATTATGTATGACAGTCCCCAATGTTCTCCCAGAGGCTGCAAGCATATTCCGACCATCGACAAGGTATTTGGCCCAGATTGCTTATAATAAGGAGGACAAGGAGGCACGTCCGAGAAGGCAGCATGCAATCCCCATGACCCTTCGCGAGCTTTCGCAGGCTATGTTTGCATTTCAAGATTCTGTAGACTCTCGCTTAAGGAGCATGGAGACGCTCCTTCTCACGCAACAATGGCAGGTGGAGGAAATACTTGAATACACTCGGGAGCAAGGAACAAAGAAGGCCGAGCATAAGGAAGGTCCTAAACAAGGCAAACATCAGGGATAGTGAGATCCCTAATTTTTCTATTACTGCATTCAGAACATTATTTTTGGATATTTATTTGATCTCATGTTAGAATTCTTCTTTTCATGACTCTTAAAACCCTTTTGAGAATATTTTATGAATTATTTCATACTTACATGTTATGGTCATCAATTATTTCAATCTTCATCTTTGAATTTTATAAGTATTGAGATAACTTAGTAATTGCGTGTGAGCATTTCAACCATTAACTCCAATGCCAAAAAACTTTTAGCCACGAGGGCGTGGTTCCGTTTAAGTGTGAGGAGGTAAGAGTTCGTGGTTGAAATGATCTTTTTAGGAATTGTTTTGTCTATATATTTTTAGGAAAAGATTTTTATAGAATAGTCATCAAGTTTAATTGTTTGGTTAATTAATCTTTAGTTATCACCCATAAAAATTGGAAATTTTTAAACTTTTTATCAAACTTCTATTTCTACTCTAACCTTTTTGGGAATATTTTCTAAAATGATTTGGGATAAATTCACAATTGTCTAAGAGTTTTTAAGATCAATCAATTTTAAGTTGCTTTATTGAAAATCTTTTTGCAAATACTCATCTATCTTTTGGGCTCTGAGTATTTGTTGTTTCTTAAAAAGAGTTATTTTCAAAGTATAAGGGGTGATGTTTCAAAGCATACTTTGGTGAGACCGAGATTCTTGTTTTAGCCAAAAAGCAGTTGGTTCTAGGTCAACTGATGAGGCGTGGTGAGTATGCCGAAAAGCACGTGGTTCTATATTGCGTGATGAGGCCTTTTGAGTGTTAGAGTCAAAAAGCATGCGGTTCTATGTCGTGTGATGAGACTTTCCAGAGTGAATATCCAAAAAGCTCGTGGTTCTATATATGTCACGGGATGAGGTTATAATTTTTCTCGTGTCAACATGACAAGGTTATGCCAAAGAAAATTAAACTCTTACACTTGGACAAATACTTTTGCAAGAACATGTTTTCCAATTTAGCCATTAAAAAATTATTTGATCTTTAAAATACTCTTATAAATGTAGTTATCCCAAGGAAAGTTTTGGAAAATTTTGGTTGTTTAGGTTGGTGTAAAAATATTGGTTTGACAAAAATTCTTTTACATTTCTAACAATATGGGTGAGACTTTAAAGGTTCATTTATTCTTAACAAAAAGGCTGATGACTATCTTATTTCTTCTTTCCTTCATAATATATGGTTAAACTTCCCCTCTGCAATTATTAATTTGCCTTTATACTTGTAATAATTCAATTTGTTGCTTGAGGGCAAGCAACGTTTAAGTGTGAGGAATTTGATAAGTCCGTTTCGTTATTATCATTTACATCATATTTAAACGTTATTGCACGTAAATAATATTTAATTATCTCTTAAAATGTGATTTTAATGCATAAAACTCTCATTTTCGTTCTAAGAGTCATAAACAGAGATTCCACATGAAATCATCATAAATCATCCATTTTATGTTCAAAAACTTGAGAAAAAGGGAACGAATTATCAAGGGATCAAGTTCGGGCTTGAACGAGCTTCAGAGAAGGTAAAATCGACATTCAGGCCGAAAATCAGTGAAATTGGGCCAAGATCTCGTAACAGCCGCGAAGCCCAACGGACCAAGGCCTCAAGGCGTCCAACTTGGACGCTTGGCCAAGTTGGACGCTTGGAGTTGGACGCCTTGGCTGGATTGCAGACTAAGGAAGACACGTGGCAAAACCTGGTTGGCCGGAGCAGCTCAAGCGTCCCGATCTGGACGCCTGGACTTGGACGCTTTGACTTGGACGCCTCGGCCTCTGCCCTATAAATACAGCGGCATTCTCCCCATTCAACATATCACTTTCATCCCCTCTCTCGGGATTTGAGCTTTATATCCCAATTCCAAGTATTAGTTTAGCATTTGAGTAGTTTTAGAGTAATTTTTGGAGGAATTCTACTCCCGATCAGTTCTGTTCCGCTTTTACGGAAGTCGTAAGTTTTCTTTATTTAATAAAATGCTATTTTAATTTATGTTNATGTTAAATTAATGTTGGAATGGTTAATCTATTGTTCTTGCCTTATTTAGTTAATTATTCTCGAAAGATTTAATTAGCTATTTATTGAGAAGATATTGTATGCCAAAATGGCTATGATATTCAAGTGCAACAGATTAAGTACAAATCTAGAAATGGATGAGTAGTAATAGAAATATTATTATTCCAATTGTTAATTTAATATGATAAAATAGATCCAGATGATGTCCTGACCCTAGGTCTAGATCTACACTTATACTATGTAGACTTGATTTATTATTTTTACTCTGCTCCTTTTATAATCGTTCCGAGAAGACTTTCATAAACCAATCCTAATCTTCGCCTACTTAGAGTAATTAAACTAATTCCCTTCGTCCACTCCTCGAGAGATACGACACTCGGAGAGAAAACTAACCCTTTGTTGGGAAGGTTTACTACCCGAAAAACTACAACTGTCACTCGCCCCGACTTGCTTGCCCTCAATGCTCTGCACTTCATGGAGCAGGTACTGTTTCTTTTTCGAAAATTTCTTTATCTCCTTTTAGGTTAGTTCTTTTCTTTGAATTCCCTTTCCTTCTTTTAGGCCCAGCAATCACTCCTCACTTTGACTGAGGAGTACCTGGGTGGAGCATCAGGGAACTACCAGGCTGTAGTGCTCCTGAAGGAGAAGGAGTTGGCTGCCAGGGCTTTACAACAGAAGGTTGACTCCCTGGAACAACAAGTTTAGGTCCTACAAGAAGAGAATGCCCGGCTCAAGGCAGATGGCTCAATGGAGCTAATAGCTGAGAAGTCCAAGGTCAAGTCCCTGCAGGAGCAGATCGCTGCTTACCAAAGGGGGACTCAGGATCTGGAAGCGCAATTTGACAGACTCCGGGCACAAATCTCCACCCTGGAATCAAGGGCCTCCGCTTCAGAAGACAAGGTGGGAAATCTAGAAGATGGATTGGTTGAAAAGGAGTCCCGGATCTCTGAGCTGGAGAATTCCCTCCAAGAGGCCAAGCATGAGAGTTCCCGTTTCAATGAATTCGCACTGAAACAGATGGAAGCGAGACGGCTTATCCTTGAGAAACTAAAGGAAGAGAAACAGACTACAAGCGAGCTACGGTTAAGGATGGATGAACTGGAGAAGACAACTGCTGCCCATCAAGAGGAGGTTGCCACTCTGACTGCCCGCGCTGAAGCCCTTTATGAAGAAGGGAAGTTTGACATGCAACAATGCATCTACGAGGCAGTTCAGAGTGGTCTTCCGGAAAACCGATCCTTGGACGACTTCATCTCTTACTATGGGTTACCTCTTCCTCTTTCTCCCCCAGCTTCTCGTGCAGATCCGGGGCCCTGACCTTATTCTTCTCTGTCGCATGTTGTATTTTGCTTTGTAACATTTAGATGGTGGTGAATTGATAACACTTGATGTATTTAGTCCGCACAGACTCCTTCTATTAATCTAACTGTTTCCCTTTTGGAACTCTTGTTTCGCCCTAGGACTTAGAAGATTTTTTTTTATCCGCCTAGGCTTTGGGCTTAACTGCATTCGCAAAATTCTGTTCTTCTTATTTACCGTTGCGCTACGTGAGTGGCCCACTTTAATTCCGCCGGGCCAGTTCACCCTAGCCCAATAACAAGATGATGCAACCCTAGCTTTCCTCGGGAATCCGCAACCGCCCCCAATCGGATAAGCGCTCTGACTCCGCGTCCTTTGCACTTCTCCTTTGGGATTACTCGCCTATTTAAGGGACTAGGCCGAACCCCTTCATCATCACAATCAAACTCTCCACATGGCTAATAACGCCAACAGAGTTGTCTTCATTGATCTTACTATTTCTGATTCTTCTTCTGATTCTTCTTCGTTGGCACTCCCTTCACTCGAGGCCCCAACGGCTGAGCTCTCTTCTGGGCCTCCTCTTGCCTCTGAACAATCGGTGACTTCTCCCTTGCCCAGGGAGGAGAATCACCCTCATCTCCCCCCACAGGTGTCAGGGGGTGCTCCTCCGAGTCCCGGCGTGCTTCTTAACGGTGCCAGGACGGAAACCTCTTCTTGCCGTCCTGGCACGTCTCGTCCGCAGAAGAGACGCAATCCCCACTCAGGAGCTTCCCGGCTGGTCTCTGGTGCGAGGCCTTCCTCCCAGGGTTCTCCTTCCCCTCAGCAGTCATATGGACAGCCACCTGAGGAGTGGGGGGACTATGACATGGGGGGAAATAGGTTTCCCTTTATACGCAGGGAAAACGACGGAACCTTCTAGGACCCGCCTCCACCTTCCGTATAAGCGGAAACAGGCCTTGAGTCCCTCCCTCGTGCCTCATTGTCCTCTTTGTTCGTCTTTGTGGGAGTGTCTGCATGGTACCCACAGGGGAATGGCTTTCAATCCCAACCCGTTAGTACCCTTTCGCTCCTTTTGAATGTCATCAAGAGAGAACGGTGGGCTTTCTTCACACCCCCCCGCTCTGGGGTTCTTTTCTGGTTTAGACAGGGAAGCAAGGGTCAACGAATACACTCCTTCAAATTCTTCCAGTTAGTAAGATAGAAGTAGATCAGGGACAAAGTTCATTACTGTAACCCAAAAGAATGTAATCTTCTGTTTGAGTTATCTAATGAAAATCTTTATCTCCCGTCTATTTTTTGTTTTGTCGCTAGATCTGGGATAAGGCCCATTATTGTAACCCAAAAGAATGTAATTTTCTGTTTGAGCTATTTAATGGAAAAACCTTTATCTCCTGTCATTTTGTTGCACGTGCCGTCATCTGTATGAAGTAGAAGCCTAAGTTTATTCAACCCCTTACCTTCCACGGATGACGTCTTTCCAAAAAACGCAGATGGGCCCAATTAATTGGCACATGCACTTAAGTGGCGAAACCCCTGGTCAAACATCGGGAATCTTCGACCGCTTCGTTCACCAATCGCTTCGTCCTTCACGCCTTTTAACCGCATTCACCATTCCCCAACTATCCCTTCCCCTTTCATTATAAATGGGAAAGGATGGTTAGCTGCTAGTCCATCCCTTTCTGACTTCTTCACCATGGCAAGTAAGTCTCGGAGAAAAGTCGTCATCGGCTTAACCCCTTCCGGGACATCTTCTTCTTCGGATGATGATTCCTCCGCCTCTCCGGCTCAGTCCAACGACATGGCTGGGTTGAGTCCCGGCGAGTTCTCAAGACTCTACCCGGCGCCTCGCCTTCCTGCACCATCCCCTCCTAGTCCACCCAGGTTTCCATCCGGGAGGATAGACTGGGACTCTATGACCCTCCAAGACTTCGCCTTGTACCAGAGGATGTGCAGGGCTAAACTTGGACGCTCTCGGCCAATTGTTGAGGAAGGACCTTCATGTGAAAGCCGGACTGCTTCTCTAAACTTGCTGAAGTTTCCCAACGATGGTTCTTCATCGAGGGCTGCAGCTCCCCGTCCTGGGACGTGGGAAGACTATGACATCTGGGAGGCTGCTGATTCCACAGCGTGTCCCTCGTCAAAGAGAAGAAGCCCATGGAAGGGGCCCCCACCTCCTTCTTGGTGACTGCATGGACGCAATAGGCCCTCCGTCGGTGCCTAGGCCCCTGCAAATCAAATTTCTTTTCCCCATTTTGTATCAGGAGGCATTCACTTGTTCGGTCCAGGAGTTTTCCCTGCGTTCCAAACTAAGGAATGTTCCTTAATCTCAGATTAGGGATTATCGATGTAATTCAAAGATACAACCCCTGAATTAACAATCGATGAACTCCCTTATTTTCTTTTCTTTTTTATCTTACTAGGAACCTTTCTTGTGAACCAAAAATGTAAACTTTGGCCCATCAATGTGGTCCTTAATAGTTGTTTCTTTGCACCTTTTCTAATGCAAGTATGTAAATCATTCTCTGTATAAAATCTCATCTCCCGGGGTTTGGACATGTCAGGGGAACTTACCTCATCTGCCACTTGCCTCCTTTCCTCCGGGTTAAGGCATACTCTTATCTACCTTAGATCAGTTGAGCTCCAACCCTCGAAGTTTGTTTGCTCGGTTGATCTGTGCTGGTGGAATACCAAGCTTCAGCCCTCGAAGTCTGCTTGCTGTTCTTCCTGAATTCCAGATTGTAATGGCCCTCAAAGTCCAATCCCAACCTTTCCTTCATTTTTGACGGAGGCATAAACTTGTTTACCTCCGGGAGGGGGGGCATGAACTTGTCTACCTCCCCTATTTTTAGCAGGTGGCATAAACTTATCTACTTCCCTGTAATGCCCCCCCCCCCCTTTTTTTCTTTTTTGAAGAAATCTATAGAACAAGGGAATTGCAAAGGCACTTGGCTTTAAAAGAAAAGAAAATTTTTACTGAAACAAACATCTTAAATTAAAAATAGAACGTTTTTACAAAATGATTTCACTGATAAAATTTGACCAAGTGCTCTACATTCCATGTCCTATCAATTTCTTTCCCCTTGGGAGTCACCAACTTGTAGGTACCTGGGCGAACAACGGCCTTGATGATATAAGGTCCTTCATACTTCTTAGCCAGCTTCCCACCCTTAGTTGGTTGACTTTTCTCCCGTTTCCTCAGAACGTAATCCCCCACCTGGAACGCCCTTGGTTTCACCTTGCTATCAAAATAAGATTTCACCTGGAGACGATAATTCTCTGCCTGGATCCGTGCTTCATCCCATCGTTCCTCTACGAAATTCAGCTCTACAGCCTGATTCTGTTCGTTCACCTCCGGGTTATATTCCATTTCTCTCCTGGTGGGGATTACTACCTTAGCGGGAGCCCGGGCTTCAAAACCATAAGCTAAGCCAAAAGGAGTGTCACCCGTAGCTCTCCTTGGAGTCGTCCTGTATGTCCATAATGTTAGAATAATAGACCAACGCTAGAGGGGGGGTGAATAGCGTTTGATCGGAGAAATCGCAGGAATTAAAAATTAAACGAGAAGTAAAGAGAAGAGTAAAAGGCGCACCGAATTTTACCCTGGTTCACCACAACTTGTGGCTAATCCAGCCTCCCGAGAGACTCTCTCGAGCTACACTACTATCTCGTTAAGCTTGCGGGTGCTTAACAAACCGTTACAACTTGAGAGTTCGAGTCACACGAACCTCAACGAATCCTTCAAAGGAAACAGACCTTCCTTTGAATCAACGAGAGAAATACTTTCTCTCAACGTGTCTAAGAACACAAGTACACTCAAGAACGAGACTCTCTTGTAGAGTAGATTATGAGTAAACTAAGTACGCTCAAGAACAACTCAACCTTCACACACAAATGGCTCTAGAAAGCTATGGAAAATTATGATATTTTAATGCAATGAGAGTATGGATGTTGTAAAGTGAATTTTTTTGATAAAAGCAGACCCAAACACCCCTTTTTATAGTGCAAAATTAGGCTCCAACGGACCAATACATTAAAGGGGTGATTAGCTTGATTTATGGGATTGAAAAAATTTGGGATCTGCAGAATATTGGCTTCCCATCGATGTTTAGACTCAACCATCGCTG